ATATCGTAATCTGAAATAACATATTGTTAATATAACATTACTACATATAACGAGATTCGTGTAAACTTTGATCCAACTCAGAAAAAATCAGGAAAGCAAATAAAAGAGGGTAAAAATATCAAAATTTGAAATAATATCTTACAAAAAGATCAAAGGTAGACCGCTTTATATGATCGGATTTTGCTTTAAGAAAATTCTGCGTTTCCTTTTTTTTCTTTCTTTGAAAAGAAACTGTATTAGCTTGCATTAGCGTTTACAAAGACGTTGAGATGTATTCTTTCGAAAGAAGCACGTTCTTTTTCAATTTTTCAATATAAGGTAGAAAACTAACTACATTCACATAAGTGGTTGACCAGGTAGATATTTTGAATGACCCTGGTCAGATCAGGTAAAGGGGAGCCTATCTTCTCGTTGGTCTTCGACATGTTTAGACAAGATTTAAGAAAAGAAGAGTAGAGCATACAGAAATACTTTTAGTAAATTTCAAAACTTAAAGTTTAAAACTAAAAAACAAAAGTTCAAACGCTTTAAACTTTGCAAAAATTGAAGGATTAATAAAATTGTTTTTTCAAATTTTAAATCGTCATTTGAAGTCGTAAATTATTAACAAAGCAAAACAACAAGATAACAACCAAAAACGAGCATAAAAGTTGTTAGATTACAATACAAATATATATTTGAGATACAATATCAATCAATTCTTATACATTAAAACGTTTCGACTCACAAAGTCTTCTTCAGTTAACAATACAACTAACCTAATAATCTAACCGCAAATTGAAAAACGGAGCTAATGTCATAATTGTATCATAAGCAACTAAAATGTTATCCCACCATGTTCATAAGAGTATCGTCATGATGTTATACGATATAACTAAATTCTCGTTCGAGGGCGAGAATCACGTTAAGTCCAAAGAGAGAAGTCAAATGGTAAAAAATAGTTTGAGAACGAAATTTATTAAAATTATGTAAGAATTGTGTGTGATGAAAAAGAATTAAATGTATCAAGTAGTCAAATTACCTTATATTCATGAATTGATTAACATAAGCTGTTAGGACTCTGTTAATAGAATACAGTGAAATTATATAATTCAGAGTCATTGTTCTATATTAAAGAATAAAAGAACGATATCTCACACACACACACACACACACACACACAACAGTAAAAAAAGATATGGAATTGCTGGATGGTTCCTATTTTGATATTCTTAAAGAAATTTCTAATATGACTCTAATTATATAATTTATTAGTTGGTTACTGCTTTTGACATAATTGGCTTGCATGTAACGTTCATTTTAAAGTCTACATATTATTGGTTACGGATACTTAATATTGTTTAGACTCACTGTCTTATATATGTATGTGCGTTGTTATTACTCGTTATCGTTAGTCTATCTCAGGATTTCGTTACGAACAATGATTCTGAATTATATAATTTCACTATATATTCTATTAACAGGGTCCTGACAGCTTATGTTAATTACACCATGAATATAAGGTAATTTGACTAATTGATACATTTTATTCTTTTTCATCACACACAATTCTTACATAATTTTAATAAATTTCGTTCTCAAACTATTTTTTACCATTTGACTTCTCTCTTTGGACTTAACGTGATTCTCGCCCTCGAACGAGAATTTAGTTATATCGTATAACATCATGACGATACTCTTATGAACATGGTGGGGTAACACTTTAGTTGCTTATAATACAATTATGACATTAGTTCCGTTTTTTACTTTGCGATTAGATTATTAGGGTAACTGTATTGTTAACTGAAGAATACTCTGTCAATCGAAACGTTTTAATGTATAAGAATTGAGTGATATTGTATCTCAAATATTTGTATTGTAATCTAACAACTTTTATGCTCGTTTTTGGTCGTTATCTTGTTTTGCTTTGTCAAATAATGGAACGTTTTATCTTATTGTAAATTATTATATAGTTAAACTAATGAATCAGTAACAAACGTACATCTGTAGTGTATTCTAGAATTTTGTGAGTTTAACAATGCATTTCCTGATAAATTTGAAATCAATCCCGTTCGTCTTCTTAATAAAAAAACACCATAATATTCAGAAAAAAATATAATTTTACAATTATAAGAGTATCAAAATTACGATTAAAATATCAAACACAAAAACTGCGAATATGCGAAAATAAATATTCATTTCTTTACTTAATACAACTCTTCCGACATATTATAATATTTTAAAAATAAAACGTAATTGCAATAAATTAAAATAAGAAATGTGCAAATACATAATCTATACCTAAATCTATAAATCTAAATATAAAAATGTAAATGTTTTATTATTTAAATTCTTTAAAGAATATTTAATAGAGCTGTCAGACGTATCTAGTCTATAAAAAGACGTATCTGGTCTAGACAATCAAAAGTAGAAACGTGTTCCGTAAATAGGATTTCGCTAATTTCAGAGATGAAGGTGATGCTAATGAAGATAATATCAAGATTTAAAACAGTGTGTCGACCATGTATTAGAGTAGACAAGGGGCATTATTGAAATAGGGAAGGGATGAAGCGAGGTATATACGACGGAGTTTCCCACGACAGGTGACACGTGAGGACCCGGCAGTCACGGCTATGCAGGTGGATCAGGTTGGGAAGCAAAGATGCTTGGTGGGAGGCCCAGGCATACCACCAGAGGCATTCAAGAGACTATACCTCAGAGGCGAACCTAAAGGTTCCTTCTCTCGGGCCCTGTCCTACAAATCGTGACCGCTTGCAACGATCACGTCAGAGAGACGTGACACAGACAATCTTAAAATCCGTAAAATTATTTTCAAGGACAGATTTTCTGATAAATTAACTTTTCCTTGGAGAAAAAGTATCTCGAGTAGTTTTCGAAGTTAGAAGCGAAATACTTGCAAAAAGACTATTCGTGAAAATTTCAAACAAGCATATCTATATAGGGTAACTCCGGTATATACGCCGCGCTGGGATTTACGCCGCGGAAGTCAGACAAAATAGAAAGAGTGAGGGTAATTTTCTCGCAACTACTCTGTTACGTGACTTTGTTATATTAGTATTGAGTTATAATTTCAACTTCTTACTGTTAATATTAATGAAATTATTGTGAGTTGAATCGATTTGTCACTGTGTGTGTACAAGTAGCATCATCATAAATTATAATCTACATAAAATGATTACCGTAAGGCGTGTAAAAGACCTAGTGGTTATTTCGTGATACATACGTATAGAGGAATAGTAAAACATGTTGTAGAGAGAGAGAGAGAGAGAGAGAGAGAGAGAGCAAAATACAAGTGCTTTGCTTTCGTATTCTTTGTTTAGTTTATTGAAACCCTTGCATTTTTGCCATATATCCCACGCATTATATATATATAGCAAAAATGCAAGATTTTAAAAAGTTTATTTTTTAATACGAAAACTAAATATTTCGGATTTCTAATATTTTTTTCATAGTAGTAAACAGTACAAAGTTTTTACTGATATAGTTCGTTTATTTTAAACATAATAAATAATACTTAATAAATAAAGTTTTTGATAGGTGCGGCGTATATACCGGAGTTACCCTATATGGCAGATAGATCTTATTATTTCGATGATAGAATTTTCTAACTTTTCAGTTAATATTTCAGATTAATTTTGCATTAAAAAAATTTTAATTACAAAAGACTTGTGATATTAAAAAATATAAAAAAGTAAATAATGTATATATTTTCGCTAATCAATTAAAAATTTTACTTGAGGAGAAAGAAACAAAAAAAGAAAGAGAGCATATGCTGTCTATTTTATCACAAGTTAAACTTGTGATAAACGCTCTTCTTTCCATTCGTCTGTTCAATAGAAAATATATACGAAAATATCTAAAATTTAGCTAGATATAAATCTAAAAAATAGTTTGGTTGAGTCATCAAAATAATTATGTAGGAAATTCAAGCATAATGCTGTACAAAATTCTAGCAACCAGCTTGAGCAGCGTACATGTTTATTTCGATAGTTTAACAAAATTATTCTCAAATCTGCATCTTATAGTTAAATTTTTCGATTATATTCAGCAAAATCGTTCTTTCCGTACAGGACAAATTATAATGTATACTAAACTGTTCTCTTGTACGATTTTTTTTCCAAAATTCTTAAAATTCCTGCATCAATAATGACATCCATTTACTCCTGAATATGCTAATTAGCGCATTCACACCGGCTGTGTATACTGCGTGACCGAGTGCTGTGACGTCCCTGTTCAGCTCCGAGGGCAAGGGACGTTGGCAGCAACGAAGAGAGGCTTAACGGAGAGACCGAGGTCTTTCTTTTCCCCTCCGCGAGTGATGAGAAGCGGCAGGGGTCTTGAAGCAACGAGCAAAGAGAGACAGAGACAGAGACAGAGAGAGAGAGAGAGAGAGAGAGAGAGGGGGAGGGAGGGAGGATGAGTAAGTCAATACAACGATAAAGACAGTTTCGGTATTGAGATACATGAGGCTTCGACAAAAGATACTATTATCGGTAGCGATAAATCATAAAATAACGTCCACGTCTAATGGACTAAAGCAATACACACAACAAGAAACTTTCCTAATCTGAAGAAAAATAAGAAAATTTTACCTGTTCCTACACATATCAGGTACTTAGAGGAAGAATCTACTGCTGTAAGATCACCCCGAAGGTTTCAGACCCTACTTTCTGTATACACAATCTACACGTTATTCGTTTATCGGTTTGAAAAATAAAGATTACACAAATTCAGGTACATTGTTGATTAAAAAAAAAAATATGTACTTTAAGAGTATAAGAGTTCGAAGAAAAAAGGCAAGATATATATATATATATATGAGGGAAATGCATCTTTAGAAAAAAGTTTCATAGATCGTATACCTCCCCTTTTCCTATTTCTCGAATCTCGCCCGGTAGTCTGAAGTCGCGTAACGAAAACGCGATGACACACGCAACGCGTTACGCGAGGCGAGTTGAGGCGACTCGAGGCGACGCGACGTGACGCGGAGAGTGACTTACTTGAGGAAGTAGATCTGGCCCTCGGGGGTGCGCGCTTGCTCCCATCCGTGCGGCAGCGGGCCCAGGTCGTCGACCGTGCTGATGACGTCGTAGCTGCGCTGCTTCTGATGA